ATGTAACACAAAAGGATGATAATATTGTTACTCATGAGACCTTGTTGTAACAATACCCTCAAGTATTATGTGATTAAGTGGGGAAAGCTAGAGGAGCCTTATAGGATAAGAGTAGAGGAATCTGTGCCCTCAGTGCAGTATACACCACTCTATGTACCAGCAGCAATCCATTAAAAACTGCATGAGGAGCTGAACCATATGGTGAAGTTTGGGATCATTGCACAAGTTACACTTCCTTCAGACTGGGTGTCATCATTAGTGATGGTGCCAAAAAGAGTGGACCATTCATTATTGATTGATTAATTGATTGATTGTGGCAATTACATCCCTGGCAATGCAACAGCTTAGGTCTTATGTCTCCGAATTAAAATTAAGGCTTAAAAGACTAAAAGAAAATAATGCAAGTTAAAAACACAATAAATAACATAAAACTTTCATAAAAACCATTTAAACATTAATAAATAAAACTCAAAGCTTATATAGAGAAGGCTGGCTTCCTCCACAAAGGAGAGGACGTCCCCTCCCACGTCACCCACTCCTCCCCCCAGCAGCAAAGAGAGATGGTAATGCCCGTCTCCCCCCGACACCGGGAGGTGCAACGAAGATCTCTGAGAGTGGGGCACTCCACCAGGTGTTGAACAGTCAATGGGACTAGACAGTCATCACAATGGGGAGGGGGCGCCCTCTCCATTAAAAAACCATGAGCCAGCCGTGTGTGGCCAATGCAGAGGCAGGCCAAAGCAGTCTTTCGGTGGCGTGACAGTCCCTGATATCCCTAGGCACCCAATGCAGGGTGGATGTTGCAGATATCGTTTTCTCCGACAACATCCCACCTGCATTTCCAGCTCGAGAGGATGGCATCTCTTATTACTGGTTTCATATCAGAGGCTTCTTGCCATTGGGCAAGAAACCGCTGCCATCGCCACAGCATTAGCACGCTCAGTCCCCTTCTCCCCCACATGTGGTGATGATACACTAGCAGGAGAGCACTATGAGAATCACTAAAAATAGTAAAATCGTTATGAGGTTGGGTTAAAATAATCTTGAGGGCAAGTAAAATACCCAAAAGCTCTGCAGTAAAAGGAGATGCCATAGTGGGGAGACTACGGGAAAGACTACAGGGACTACCTGTACACTGCTGTGTGTGCTTGCTGATGGTGTAGCAACTCTTTAGTGGTTTAGCATCCTCTCATGGTAGTGGGGTAATCCATTAGCTGGTGAATTTTAAGTATCCAGACACTGCATCTATCCGATTTCTGTCGTGAAGGTCGTCTCCCCACTATGGCATCTATTTTTACTGCAGAGCTTTTGGGTATTTTATTTGCCCCAAGATTATTTTTACCCCTCATAACGATTTTACTATTTTTAGTGATTCTCGTAGTGCTCTCCAGGCCTTAGCTAGTGGCTCATCACCACATCCTTTAGTGATAGATATTTTACAGTGGCTTTTTCTCATCCAAAATCGGAGCCGGAAAGTCAGTTTTTGCTGGGTTCCGGCCCATGTGGGGGAGAAGGGGAATGAGCGTGATGATGCTGTGTCGAAGGCATCTGCTTCTCGCCCTGTGGCTCATCATTCCCCTCTACCTGCCTATGATATGTCATCCGCTCAAGTTGGCAATACAGGTGGGAAGATGTCGGAGCAAGCAAGCTCTGCAACTTCCACCCTGCATTGGGTGCCTGGAGATATCAGGGACTGTCATGCTGCTGGGAGACTGCTTTGGCCCGCCTCTGCATTGGCCACACATGGGTGACTCATGTGTTTTTTTAATAGAGAGAGCACCCCCCCCATTGTGATGACTACTACCTGGTCCCATTGACTGTTCAACACCTCCTGGTGGAGTGTCCCTGTTTCAGAGATCTTCATTATAAGCACTTCTCCCAATGCCATAGGGGAGACAGGTTTTACTGTCTCTCTTTGGAAATGGGGGGAGTGGGTAGCTTGGGAGGAGACGTCCTTTCCTCTGTGGAGGAAGCCAGCCTTCCACATAAGCTTTGAGTTTTAGTAGTGTTACCTATTAATGTTTAAATACATTTTATGAAAGTTCTGCGCTATTTAATGTTTATGTTTTTTACCTTGCATTACAGTATTTGATTTTAGTCTTTTAAGCTATTACAGTGGTCCCTCGGTTAACGAACACAATTAGTTCCAGAAGGTCATTCGTTAACCGAAAATTTCATTAACCGAATCCATTGTTTCAATGGGATACTGGGTAATTGGATCCAGCTCACTGAGAAGTACATACAAAGTATAAAAAAAATGCAGTAAAGTACAGTACACTTACTTTAAGGTGTGTATGTAGAAGGCTCCTGGTTGAAGATGATGATGGGAATTAGAAGTGGGGTGGAGGAGAAGGGAGAAGAGAAGGAAGTGGGGATGGAGGAGGAATCACCTTTCAGGGGACCCATGCTTGATGCCGTCATTTCACCAATAAAATTTTAAGTTCACTAGGAGTAATTCAAGATTATTTTCTTAAAACCAACACTGCACTGCGCTATATATCATCAATATGTTAAATAAAGCTCGGAATTACCAATAATTTCAATGAAAAATGCAAAAATATTCAAGACACCAACAGAATAGATGCTCTCTCCACAGAAAACAAAGCCAGACTGACGCCTGGTGACCGACCCTCGCATCTGATGGGTGCACAACAAACTAGTTCCTGTACTGCATATACAGTCATGCGCCGGTTAACGTCCTAGAAACGTTCTTGGAAACGTGACGTTAACCGAAATGGACGTTGTCCGATCATCACATAAACTTTTTAATTATACTTACGTGTATGTGGAACACTATATACGTACATATACACTTTTACTCTTAAATCACTACTGTAATGTGATACAGGTGATTAATTTTCATCTCTTGTGCAAAATACATGACGTTTATATTAAAATTATTGACTGTTTTACAAGGATTCCAGCGCCGAGCAGATGGGGAGAGAGGGTGGGAGGCGGCGTGGGGGAGGGAGTAGTACGTTTGACAGTTGGCACAGGCCCAGGTCTACCGCGTGTATATTTATCAGTTCTTAGGTGACTAAGCTTCACTCTTATAAAAAGCCAGTAAAATGACCTGGGTGAATATAATTAACATAGTTGGGATTCTTGTAACATACTGATTAATTTGAATATAAACATGCTATAATTTGCACTAGACAAAACAATTTTAGTACCGAAATCAAATTAGTACATGTGCGCTCCAGCTTTGCACTAAGGTCATTTATTTCTATTACGTTTCTTTTAGTATGGTGTGTGCATGTAAATGGATGAAAATAAATGAAGAAATCTATGTAAATCTACCCAAAAATACAGTTGAAAATTTTGTTATAAAATGTACTACAGTATTGTACACTAATGTACTACATTTTCTTTATCTTGAACAAAATATATGACGCTTATATTTAAATTAATCTCTGTCTTGCAAGGATTTCAGCAATGCAAATTATATTATCCTAACTTTAGTCTGAGATATTATATAAAATAAACAAAGAAATCACCAATCTTTTGTCTAGGAACACACAGGAGGGAGGTAGCCAGCCGAGCATGAGGTGAGGTGACAGAGTGTCTTTATTTATTTGAGATAAGATTTGACAGTTGGTGCTGAAGGCCTGGGTGTTTATTTATCATTACTTAAGAGTGACTAAGCTCTTCTCATAATTTGCACCCCAAACGACCTGGGTGAATATAACTTACATAGCTTGGATTCTTGTCAGATAGTAATTTATTTGAATACCTGTATAAACAAGCTATACAGGTATTTTAGTACCGTAATCATTTAGTACATGTACAATACAGGTTTGCACTTAGGTCCATTGTTAACCGAGGGACCACTGTATTGCAGTGAACATTTTACGACCATTTAGACATACTAAATATATATATATATATAATGTTATGGTAAATATCATAAACATACATAGGCATGGCTAGGTTTATTACAAAATGATGAAAAGGAACAGCTTAATACTGTAGTCCACAAAACATGTAGCTATGCTTTTTATTTGGTCCCCGTCATACAGAGTCCGTTTTTCTATCTCACACAGGGCGCCTGAGTCCTCCGTTTTCTCTCTTAATCTTAGGTACAGAAACTTTACTATTTTTAGTAATGCAGAATTTGAAATTCAACCCCAATTGCAACTGGGTTTGCAATTGTTGAAACAACTAGATATGTCTGATTACAGCAAATGTGTTATTGTCAATTTGTAGGTGAAAGATTTTATCCTCAATAGATGTAGGTTAACATTTCACCTGTAGGCAAATGCTTAAAAAAGCCTAAGTAAGGAAGCATATTCCTTTAACACATAATATCTGACCAGTATGGGGAGGATCATCGTGTCTCTGTCGGGGGTCGTGGGTGGTGGTCCAGCAGGCGTCACATTTTTTTTTTTGAGGGGGCCACGGACGTATATCGCGTTCGGACATTGTTCGTTCGGACGTTAACTGGCCTATGACTGTATTATCAATATGTTAAATAAATGTCAAAATGACTAATAATTTTAGAAACATGCATAAATATTATAAAAGCACAACTTATTGATACATTGAAATGAACATAAACATAGAACAGATTACTGATTGGCTGAGTACCCCCTCAGCTGATCAGCTGATGTTCAAAACAAAGCGTAATTTTGTAAGGATTTAGTTAATCAAATTTTGTTAGATTAATCGAATTGAAGATTCATATGGAAGGTATTAAGTTAACCCGAAATTTCGTCAACGGCGTTAAGTTAACCCGAGGACCACTGTCATGTATTTCAATTCGGAGACATATGACCTCAGGTGTTGCATTGGCAAGGATATAATAAAAACAATCAATCAAACAATCCATTCACCTTGTGTAATAGCAAGAAAAAGTTTACATGAAAAATTACCATACAATCTTACAAACACATGCACCACCCCACCCAACTGGTATTTACCATAAATTCTACTTAACAAGGATAAAACTAAAACAGTAATAAAATTTTTACTTTTACAATAATAAATTAATATAGAAATACCTGAGCCTTTCCAATATTTATGGTATATTCTTCATTGTTGATGTGAATGATAGTTGAAGCCAGAAAGTCTCGCAGGGAATCATGCCACATCTCTGAAAAGACAAAACTTTATGTCAATTGTACAAATACAGCACTGTACACTACAAACATCAGAGAGGAGATCATTAAAATAATTTAGCTACATACAGGTACATATGATTTCAAGCCAATGATATCCCAGGGAATAAAAAAGATGAGATTACAAAATGGGGCTTACCAAGTCGGACAAAAATTTCATGATTTGTACCTTTGGGATTACATTCCAAAAATCCAGATACAGTATAATACCTCTCCCAACTCAACTGAAGCCTCTATAAAGAGGCCACTTAAAAGAGTCAGTTACCATTTAGGCTGAGCAGTAAGACTCCTCAGCTACCTGGTGTATGTCCTCTACAGTGAACATAGCCCAAAGGTAAGTGGACACACCCTAGCACTCACCAATCCAGCCCAAACAGCTGGAAATGGAAAGCCATGGTAACTACAAAATTAATTCTCATGACTGTCTTGTGGGTACATCTATCCTCAATATTCGTAGTGATTGGGGACCAGAGATGTGCAGTGATCAGCAAATCCGCAATAAGTAAGTCAACTATCTTAATGGGAAAAATAGGGTTTCTTCCCAAAACCCCAAGCTGCCCCCAATAACCTACCAATATAGCCTCCCCAAAATTATTAAACACAATTGGTTAACAGACCTTGGGGAAGCTTCAGAAAAGTCTTCATAATGTCTTCTTGTACCTTATACAATGGACAATCATTTTACTGTGCTTGAGGGGTGGTTCACTTGCATGGTTAAGCCCTAAGCACAATTGGGGGTCCCCATGAGAAAAAAAATTGAGATAAGGGGCTTCAAAAACAAGGTAGTAGGTAGTAGACAGCTATCAAACAGGGAGGTACTACCGCCTGGGACGATATTGGAAGCATTATGTATTGTCTAATGGTAGACCCTGCTGCCATATGGCACCACAAAAATTGTGACCAAGTCCCATGTCGCTGATCTGACTTTGTGCCTCATTTACACAATTTCAAATGTTTCTCTTACTTTAACAACACAACATACAGTATATATCTTTTCTCACTCTTGATCTGTCTAATTTTTTCTATTCTCTTATTCTACTATGATATCAGTTAACATTGTAAGCTGAGTGTTATTGATGAAAGCGAACTTTTGGGGGTAGGGTGGTGTGGTCAGTTCCCCCTTCCTCACTCAAGCGTGGCTAATTGTGATAGGAAGATGAATTTGACACCATAATGATCCTTAATAAAATCTCTCTGAAACATTTCCAATAATATATTCTTAAACAAAATATTTCTATCTGATAAAGTGATAGGAATTCCATTTTTTTATAAAAAAAAAATGTTGATACCGGAGTCAGTAAAATCAGTTCTAATTTCGTTTGATACACCAATTTTTAATCATAATACAGTAATATCTCCGTTAGCCGGAAACCCTCAAACCCGGAAATCTCCGATAGCTGGCATTGAAATTTGCTCGGAAAATCATTCCCAAAGCCGGAATTTTCCAAAGATTTCCGGGTTTCGGAACATATTTTCCGAGGTTGAAAATCGAGAGAAATTTCAGAAAATGTCTGGAATAAAGATGAAAGTTAAAGTATTTTTGGGGGACCTGACCTGGCCTGACTCAATGTGAGGTGGAGGTAGGGTGGGGGATTAGTTGGTCTCATAACACTGACCTTCTGATGGAATGTCAGGTCACCCTTTCTTGGGTGGGTGATTAGTGGGTCTCATGACCTGAAGAGGTTTTGAATAAACACAAAACCTAAGTATTTTTAGGAAGATTGTCATATGTATAAGCATAAATGAGCAAAGTTGAATACCTTCAACATTACATTACATAACATTTTAAAATATGGGTAAAAAGCAGAAAGGTGTGGGTGATTAGAGATGGAGTGGAAAGGAGTGGTAACCTGCACCAGTGTTGCCTCCATGCAGTCACACAACAAGACCCTCACTGGATGCTTGTTGTCTTAATTCCCGTGTGTGTGTGTGTGTGTGTAATAATAATAATAATAATAATAATTAACGGTTTATTGAAAGAGCTTGGCAGCCAGAAGGCTGAAAATATACAGTTACATATTTGGGGAATGGGTTACGAATTACAAATAATATACTACAAGTAACATAAGTGATACAAATAAGATATATAATAACTAGATGGGGAAAAGCTCAAACTACAGTGCATTTCAACATAGTGACAGTGCAAAAGTAGTACTGGGGTGTGTGTGTGTGTGTGTGTGTGTGTGTGTGTGTGTGTGTGTGTGTGTGTGTGTGTGTGTGTGTGTGTGTGTGTGTGTGTGTGTGTGTGTGTGTGTGTGTGTGTGTGTGTGTGTGTGTGTGTGTGTGTGTGTGTGTGTGTGTGTGTGTGTGTGTGTGTGTGTGTGTGTGTGTGTGTGTGTGTGTGTGTGTGTGTGTGTGTGTGTGTGTGTGTGTGTGTGTGTGTGTGTGTGTGTGTGTGTGTGTGTGTGTGTGTGTGTGTGTGTGTGTGTGTGTGTGTGTGTGTGTGTGTGTGTGTGTGTGTGTGTGTGTGTGTGTGTGTGTGTGTGTGTGTGTGTGTGTGTGTGTGTGTGTGTGTGTGTGTGTGTGTGTGTGTGTGTGTGTGTGTGTGTGTGTGTGTGTGTGTGTGTGTGTGTGTGTGTGTGTGTGTGTGTGTGTGTGTGTGTGTGTGTGTGTGTGTGTGTGTGTGTGTGTGTGTGTGTGTGTGTGTGTGTGTGTGTGTGTGTGTGTGTGTGTGTGTGTGTGTGTGTGTGTGTGTGTGTGTGTGTGTGTGTGTGTGTGTGTGTGTGTGTGTGTGTGTGTGTGTGTGTGTGTGTGTGTGTGTGTGTGTGTGTGTGTGTGTGTGTGTGTGTGTGTGTGTGTGTGTGTGTGTGTGTGTGTGTGTGTGTGTGTGTGTGTGTGTGTGTGTGTGTGTGTGTGTGTGTGTGTGTGTGTGTGTGTGTGTGTGTGTGTGTGTGTGTGTGTGTGTGTGTGTGTGTGTGTGTGTGTGTGTGTGTGTGTGTGTGTGTGTGTGTGTGTGTGTGTGTGTGTGTGTGTGTGTGTGTGTGTGTGTGTGTGTGTGTGTGTGTGTGTGTGTGTGTGTGTGTGTGTGTGTGTGTGTGTGTGTGTGTGTGTGTGTGTGTGTGTGTGTGTGTGTGTGTGTGTGTGTGTGTGTGTGTGTGTGTGTGTGTGTGTGTGTGTGTGTGTGTGTGTGTGTGTGTGTGTGTGTGTGTGTGTGTGTGTGTGTGTGTGTGTGTGTGTGTGTGTGTGTGTGTGTGTGTGTGTGTGTGTGTGTGTGTGTGTGTGTGTGTGTGTGTGTGTGTGTGTGTGTGTGTGTGTGTGTGTGTGTGTGTGTGTGTGTGTGTGTGTGTGTGTGTGTGTGTGTGTGTGTGTGTGTGTGTGTGTGTGTTGTGTGTGTGTGTGTGTGTGGTGCAAAATAAGGGATGTTGTGTTCTGACCTCACTAGGGGAAAGGTCACGGCAGGGTTAGCTCCCGAGGGATAATTATCAGATATGGCCAGTGCTATGTGTGGTCTGGGGTGTGCGAGTTTGTTAACCAAACTGGAGTGGTCCATGGAAGAATTGGTGAGGGCCAAGGAAGAAATTGAGAGGGCCATGTTGGTGAACCTGAAATTAAAGGTAGAGCTGGCGAGAATAAAGGGGGAGGCGGGACAGGGAAAGCCAGTGTCTGACGAAAACTCAAGCGAGTGGAAGGTTGTGAGGAGAGGGAAGACCAAGCTGGTGATGAAGAAATACACCAAGGATACGACAACAACAGCTAAGTGTACCAACTCGTTCAGTCCCTTGATAGACGAATTGGACGTTAGTACAGTCAGGGATAGGGCTGACAAGGAAGGTATAAAAACTTTAATTGTTGGTGACTCACAGGTAAGATACTTGGACAGGGCCTTTTGTGGTAAAAACAAAAATAGGATGAGGGTGTGTTTGCCAGGAGCAGGGGTGGGGGATATAATTGACAGGATGGACAATATCTTGTCTGGTAATGGGAACAAACCCATTATCTGCCTAGTGCAGGAGGCAATGATATTGACCGGTGTAGGAGCGAGGAGCTTCTTGATAAGTTCAAGGCAGCTATAGATCGTATTAGGTCTAAGGGAGGGATCCCAATCATATGTGGTGTCCTGCCTAGGAGAGTTGGCAGTGAATGGTTGTCAAGGGCGGTTGGTGTCAACGACCGTCTTGACAGATATTGCAAGTCAATATCAGTCCCATTCATTGACAACTGGGACAACTTCTACGGCAGAAGGGACCTTTATGCTAGGGATGGGGTGCACCTGTCTAGGGAAGGGGTGGCAACCCTGGCTGGGTCTCTAGAGGGGGCAGTTCAAAGGATATCGAAGTCTTTAAACTGCTAGGGGAACATATGGGCACGGGGGTGGGGGAAACTGCACTGGGAGCGGGTAAACAAAGTAAAAGATTACAGGGAAATAGTCTTAGGAATGATGACAAAACTAAATTAAACAGGGAGTTTAAAACTAAATGCGGTAAAGGGAGGACTCAGAACACGACTAACTTAAATGTCTACTACGCGAACAGTAGAAGTATGAGAAACAAAATGGATGATATTAGGGCCTTGGTATGTACCGAAAAAATCGATATAATAGCATTCACTGAAACATGGATCAACCTACATGTAGACTCACGCGAGTTGCTGGTCGAATACCAAATTGCGGGTTACAAATTGTTCCATACTGATAGGCAGACCAGGAAAGGAGGCGGAGTAGCAATCTATGTTAGGGATAATCTGAAGTGTGAAATAAATAAGGAAATAAAAACTGAGCGGAATACAGAAACAATTTGGATAGAATTAATCGACGGAAGGGAAAAATTAATCACAGGAGTAATATATAGACCTCCCAATCTTCATAGAGTCAATGAGCGACTTATCTGGGATGAAATGAGCAGGGCTTTCATACACAACAAAGTCTGTATAGTAGGCGACTTTAACCTTGGCCAAATAGATTGGACTGACCTTACGGGTAACTCAGAATCAGAGGATTTTCTCGAGACGATCCATGACTGTTTCCTCAGTCAACA